GAAAGAGCCCCAAATACATCAAAATCAGGAACATTTTGCCTGTTTCATATTCATAGTTTCTTCTTTGTGTGTGACTGATTTATTCTGCTGCGTGCCCCCAGGGTGTGCATTGTCCAAAATAAAGGCTGCCAAAAAAAAAATGAGAACAGGGAGCAAGGGCGGAGGGGGACTTCAACCGATGTTTTTAAATGCTGTGAGACTATTGCACATCTTGCATCCTCATGTGTGAATTCACCTTATGGTGTTTCTTAACAAAAGCATGCTCACTAAATAAATAACTTCAGCACAATGCAAGACATCGTGCCTGAAAATAGAAAGCTGCTCCGAGACAATTACTCCATGCTGTGAAATCCTCTCTCTCGTGCTTCTGTATTGTCTTAAGTTGTACTTGTGCTGCCATAGCATGTGCTTGCATTATAAAGCACTGTGACTGTGCAGCAGAAAGTACAAATGCATAGAAAGCAAGCACCCATGATTATTTTAGGTTCTGGTTTTGCCGAAGAGAGTGGTTTGATTTTTTTCTCTCTGGCACGTATGGATGGTGAAAACAAAGGGAGCACAAATTACTTTGACAAAGTCAGCAAAGCCGGCTCTGCGGAGTGGGCTCTCTATGGAGAGCACAATGCCCGAATTACAGAGGAGCAGACTGCAAGGCAGAAACTTATAAGCCACTACGTGCAAATATGTTTCGGCAAGGGAACCGGCAACTGGACAAAAGGCACAGTTCACGAGGCCGCCTGCAAACTTTGCCCAGGTGTTGAGGAGCAGTTCATTAAGGGCGGCCATGAGGGGGATCTTTCTGCAACGGGAAGCTATTGTTAAGCGCCCCGACAGATGAGAGCAGACCCTTCTCCTGCCACAATAGCTGCTCACACCAAGCAAGACTCATTAAATATTCAGTTCCAGCCTCAAGCAGCTCATTAAGTCAGCAATGAGCAGTGACGCTGGTGTTGGAAAACCCTGCCTCAGTTAACATCACCATGCAGAGTCTCCTCGGATCTCTTGATGTTATTCTGCTCAGTACCTTTTCTGTGATGACCAGCTTGTGCTCTCTGCTTTGCATTAAATACAGGTAAAAAAGAGTCACGTGGATTTAAGTTCTCCTGTTCTTTCTAGGCCTTTTCAGAGAGGAGTCCTGGGGCCCAAGCTAAGTGTCTGTTGCGTTTTTCTGTAGCAGCATATGTAATACAAGTTTGCAGGAGGAGGATGGGATGAGGGTTATATGGCTTTAGTGTTAAAAAACAAACAAACAAACAAAAAACTGTAATGTCTGAAGGATGACTTTTATAGCAGAACGTCACGACATGCAGCAGTTACAGATGCTGTATTACTGTCTGTCAGCTGTTACACAGCAGAAACTTTTACAGTAAGTGTATTTTCCCTGGAAATGCTAGTGTCTTAGGTGGATTTTGGCTTGAACTGTATGCTGAATATGTTTCTTGTGTGCAGAGTTTCTTTCTGAATGATGTATTTGAAACCTGTTTTGCAACCACTAACTTTTGTGAGTATAATTTCATATTCAGTAGTACTTAACAATAATATAGAGGCATTTATGATGGGTGGATGTCAGATGTCAATGAATTAGAGCACACCAGAATCTGGAATTAGGATTGTAATTGTGGAAAATGCACATATGTTTTCACGCATCGATGTTTTAGAACTGTAACGTCTGAAAATACGGAGCAGAAATGGAACAGAAATGGAGAAGCAGAACATGTGCAAAAGTTTTGGGCTGTTTTTTCAGAGGGCAGTTTTTCACACCCTGAATCTATTTTTTTTTCCTTTTTCCTTTAACAGAAAGTGTTTTCAGACTGCCCATTTCTATGTGGAGGACAGCAGTTCCCCGCGTGTGGTTCCCAATGAAAGTATTCCCATTATACCTATTCCAGGTAAGACGGGCTTAATCTCCTGTGTTTGTGCTACCTGAAGTCTGTTTTAATTACATAAAGAGAAGGTTATGCTTGTGATAAATCGTAGAAATTTGTTGTATCAGTGCTGCTTCATATAATTTAAGGTGCTTTGCAATGGGGCGCTGAGTGCCGATGCTGTATTTTTCCATAGGCACCTCTCCCACGTTGTTTTAATAGAAATTTCAGAATAACCTTTGTAAAATGTCAAAAACATGAGCAACACTTCTTAAAAACACTAAGGCATTGCATCCAGGGCGAAACCAGCTGCTCCATCAGGGCAGGTTGTGGACGAGGGATATGCAGCTCCACTGCTCTCTCGAGACCGGGGGACTTGCCCCCACTTTCAGCGTGTGCAGACGTGGTGTCTGCTGGGTCTCGGGGAGGAAAGCAAGACACAGGGATAAGCAAGCAATCTCAAGTAAGTCCAAAGCCATCTATTAACTTGGTATTAATCAAGTTACCAAAGGTCAAATCCTCCCCTCAGCTATACCGAGAGCGAAGCCGGAAGCAGAGTTTAGCACTATTCTCTCTTCATGAGGCATTTCCCCTCGGAATTATTAAGTGCAGGATCCAGCTCCCTTTAAGCAGTGATGACAGAGAGCAGCTTGGTGTCACAGTGGCCTCTGCAGCCGCTGCCTTGTTTGATGTTGCTCAGTTTCATAGGCAGAATAAGATACCCAAAATGTTGTATTGACCTCAGTCTGTCAAATGCTTGTACTTGTTCCTTCAAGGTGTTTTAAGTTTCCCTGTCGTATTCTGTAACGTGTCATTGGTCTAGGATACAATCTGCAGCTAATTAGATTTGTTTTACCAAAAAGCATTCAAAGCCATCTCTGAGACACTGAAGAAACAGGTGTCCTAGAAAAAATGAAAGAATCCAGTTACATTTTCCTTGATTTTATTCAGTAGATGTGTGGCTATCCTTTCTAGAAAGAGTTTTTCAAAATACCCATGGAACTAATATGAAAGGTTAGGTATTACATTCCTACAGAAAATGTTAGGCCTTGCAGTCTGATGATGTGCCACAGAAAATAAAAGAAAACATGCTATCATCTCCTCTCATTCTGTGGCAGACTAAGTGCACGTCCTGGCCACTTCCTTAGCAAGGAGCCACCCTTCTCCTCCTCCTTCTTTAGGGTTACATGAGACAGAGGTTTTAGTCTTATACATCGTGCGACGAATTTTCACAAAATAACCTAGATAGCTGGAGAACTCTGTTCTTCCTACTCTAAAACCAGGAGGAGCACTTCCCTGTTGGGGCTGCTTTTGGCAGGCAGTTTAATGGTCCCACCATGCCTGCTCTCATGTGATACCTTCTCAGAGCTTGTGAGGAAGGGGAGGGTGGGCTAACCTGGACTCTGTGCAAGGCAGTGTCAAAACCCAGGGGATTATGAACACAAGGCAGTGGGAGGAGAGAAATTCTCACCTCAGAGAGAAGTGTCTTTGGCCAGTGTATAGGGTGTTTTACTGTAATTGAGTCAAATTTTTCTTAGATAAAGAAACCAGGAAAAAGCTCCTTCTTTTCATGCTGTGATCTGTGGTGTTGAGACAGTGGTTCTTCCCTATTTCACAGGGTTGTTTTGATGGTTAGTCCATTAAAGACTGGATGGCATTCATATAAAGTGTAATATAGGCTGAAGAAGCTCCATTAAAACTGTTCAGGTGGCAGGTACTATAAGGCCAGCACATACACTAATGCTTCTCCAGCAGCCATTCTAGCACGTAACAAGAAGTGGCTGAGAACAGCACAACACTGCCTTTTGGGGACATCTTCCTATGACTAGAGCAAGCCAAGCTGTTGGACCACAGCAGCTTTGGGATTGACAGGATGCAACTGTCATTGCAGTGCACGCTGGGGTCTGCTCAGTTCAGTAATGCTAAGAAAGAGCTGCTCACCCCTGATAACGGGCACTGTGGATTAAGGCACCTGCTGAGCAAGTGCTGCAAGACACCTCGAGAAGCTTTGTAGCTCAAAATCTGCAAGAACTGCTGATGAGCTCGAAGGCACGTGAAGAACGGAGGTTTAGTCAGTACGCTGCAAAGGTGAATCCAGCCCTCCAATTCCCAATCTAATGACAAGATTTTTGTCGATATAATGGACATTTAGTCACCTGCGTACAGACATCCAAATGGAGGTACCTTAATCTGAAGCTGAATCAGGCCCAGAAGGTCTTAAGAGAGAATGAACTGATGAACTTGAAGATCTTGGCACTGACAGTAAAGCTGTTCAGGCCATCAAAAGCCAAATCACCCTCTGGAGGTGCCTCTCTGTGTGTATTAACTATTAATTGTACAGGGAGTCTGTAATGAGGCTCCAAGTCAGTAGAGATAAAGTGCAGCTATGTTGGCTTTATCCAAAGATGGGAGATACTGCCTGAAAAGATCTGGAAGCTCTCCTAAACATTTTCTTTGTTTGGAGATGCAGAAGAGGCCTGTTTTCCCCCATATACCTATTGCTAAATGACACTTTTCTCTGACGTCAGCTGCTGCTCCCACATAGGCAGCCCACTGATATGCCTTAAAAAAATTAAATGACAAAATTCTCCTTCGAACTGATTGCAACTGATGAAATGATAAGCCTCTGAACTTTTCTTCTGGAAGCTGCCAGAGGGTGTGAGAAAGTCTTACTTGCCGTGTTGATCCTAGAAGCAAAATATAGGTGGCATTTTCACAAAAGCAAGTTTTTCAAAGTAACCTTGTTAACTTGTGAAACCCTATCCTTACAAAAGATATTTGAATAGATCCCTGTGGAACCATGCATCTACCTCCTACAGTTCAGCAGACCAACTTCTACTCTCAATTACGTGCAAGCAGCCACACGGATGGCAATTTAGAGCAGCGTTGTCTGCAGACGTTTAGTAGATTTGCCAGGGCCCACCTACAGCGTGCAGCGAGCTGCGGGTCGGAGGAAGCTGAGCAGGTTTGGGTTGGCTGGTCCTGGCCCAGGTGTGGGGTGGCTCTGCCAGGTGTGTGGGAGCCAGGCGCAGCGGTGTCCTGACGCAGCTCAAGAGGTTTCAGAAGCAGGCTCTGGTGTCTCTGCATGCCACCGCTCTGCTCCATGATGTGTCAGCATGCTCAGATGTAGCTTTTGTGTTTATTTCTGCGCCACATTCTGCTCTTTTTTTTAGGCAAACCCTCTGTTTTCTCAGGTCTATGAACTCTAAAATCAATCTGCCAGCTACCTGCAATAGGCACACAGTACAACTTTTCAGGTCCAAAATCTAAAAAAATCTTCTTGTAAAGGAATGATTTTACCCATTTTCTATTTCACTTCCCATGGCGTACACGCTTAATTATTGTGCATGAAGCCACATCACCCATAGGCGTGTGTTTGTCTGTGCAAATTTGCTCTGAGACCCAAATCATTATCATTATTCATAATTATCTGCACTGCTTGATCTAGAGAAACACAGGACAAAGGAGATATCATTAACTGAGTCACCCACTGGATATTACAACTGAGGTATAAATCTAAACTCACATAAGCCTTGTGCCTGACACTAATGCATCTGTAATCAATGGCAGATTTCTGAAAGTCCCCTGCCATTCAGCCCAACAAAATTATTTCTCCATATCTTCTCTCTTTGCCTCCACACTCAGTTAATTTTGGCCACGTCCATATCATCTTTGCCTGGATCTCTTCACTGTAACATTTGGTCTTGGCAAGATCTCTTTCTCAGCAAACCAGCTCCTGTTCCTGTCTGGGTTTTGGATTTTTTTTCTCCATAGCTGGGTCAGTATCTGATTAAAATGTTTCTGGACGTGATCCTTTTCAGTAGAGTTGGATAAGTAAGAATAACAGCAGCGTCATAGCTGCAGACCTGTATGTTTTCAGCACTGGAAAACAAAATGCATCCCCGTCAGTTTTCTTTTGTTCTCATCGCAAGACCTGCTCCACAGCAGCAGTGAAGAAGTGCACCTCTGCAGCTTCGATATCATCCAGTAGTGGATCTAGCACAAATTCCACTTCTACCTTCCTCCTCCTGTTCTTTCTTTCAGAGCTTTCCTGCTCTTGGGTGTTGCATTGTTCTGGAGCTTGCTGTGGCTTTACTGGTTCCGTGCCCAGTCCATGGGCACAACGGACGCTGGGGCACTGATGTCAGCGGGACTTGTTGTGAGATCAGTGCACAGATAGTTGAGGCTTGACCCTATGGCAAAACTCAAAACTCTGCGTAGTCATGACGACAGTCCAGAGAAACATGGCTCATAAAGAACACTACAACCGGCCGATGCAGCTGATTCATTTAGCATGTAATTCCACATGTCTTTCACCATTTTTATTATAAGTAAAATGTCTCAGATGTGATGCCAGTCACTTCAGCTGTGTCTAGACTACAAGACTAAGGAGCACTTCCCCGTTCTTGGATCAAGGTGCAAGCAGTTTTAGGTTTAAATAGCAGTACATTAATTTTTTAACTAGTACTGGAGTTCATGAATAGTGTATTTAAAATAACTAGTGGCAGAATCTGATGAAGGAACATTCTCATGCTTCTTCAAGAATGACTCAGTGTGGGTGCATGAGCCCAGGAAATAGTGGAGTAGCCAAGTACATTGCAGTGAAAAGGTATTTTGACGGCCTCATGCAGTCGTGTGAGGGTGTGAAGGCCAGTGCAGCCATGACCCTCCTTCATTTCCCTCTGTCTTCTCATGGTTAGAAGAGGGAGTCCCATCAAGAGTCCATCTTATTAACTCTTAGCTTCTGTTAAATCTCTGTGGAATTTTGAAACCTTCTTCCTTATTCCTTCAATAACCACGGTCGCCTTGAACCTTTCCTGACGAACATCAGTGGTTAGACTTGACGTGTTTCTTACAAGCTCAGTTCCTGCACTTCTGACAGCTTCTGGTGGCATCCCCACCCTGTGACAAATCGTTTCTCTTGAGAGACTGTAACAAGAGGTATCTCATTTGAGAAGCAAACTGCAGGCTCCCGACAGAGGCTTGGTATCTTAGTGTCTTCTGCTAAGATGTAGCTGTCTCAA